ATGGAACACTGTATGTCTCATATCAAGAAATGGATGACAAACAATTTCCTTCAACTGAATTCTTCTAAGACTGAAGTCATCGTTATATCCTCTAAATTTGACTCAAAAAATATTCCAGCCTCTCTACAGATTGTTAAGGATCAAGAGCCACATGTTGTTAGTGGAACTGTGAAGAGTCTTGGGCTGTATTTGGACAGTTATCTTTCAATGAGTGATCAGATTACGTCAGTGGTTCAAGCATGTAATATTCAGATCAGAAATTTGTGGTTTATTGCATCAAAACTGTCTTTTAACCTTAAGATTCAGCTTGTTCATGCTCTAGTACTCTCTAGAATTGATTATTGCAATAGCGTATATTTTGGACTGAGCTCTTATGATTTAAGTCGTTTACAGAAGGTGCAAAATTCTGCTGTAAGATTTATTTTCGGGAGAGGAAGAAAGGCACACACTACTCCACTACTTAAGAAAGTTCATTTTCTACCAGTTAGATTTAGAATAGATTTTAAGATTGCCCTACTTGCCTACAAGTGTTTAAATAATATAGCTCCTCCTTACTTAAAAGAGTTGATATCTCCTAGGCAGCAAAGTTTTAAAAATGTACGTCTTGATAATGATTATTTTTACCTTAGTTTTCCGCCCTCTCCTAACTATGTAAACACAGAGAAAGCTTTTAGTCACTGTGCAGTTAAAGTATTTAATTCCCTGCCATACGACATAAGATCAGCTGAGTCAGTTGCATCTTTCAAGACCAAACTTAAAACATACTTCTTTTCTCTAGCATTTGATTGATTTTGCATTTACATAGGTAAAATGAACTTGTCATGTCTAATTTTCAATTAAACTAAGCTCAGTTAATGTAAGAGCCGCTTTAGAAAGCACTGGAGTTTATCTCCAGGATTAAATTATATCGAGTTATATGATTTAGCTATAAGGCGGTTTATAAAAGTTGTATTTATTATTATTATTATTATTCAGTATCAAAGGACGATTGGACTGTGATACAAAAAATGTTGTGTACATAGTTAAAGATAATATTTGTAAGTTAAGTTATATAGGATGTACTTCAGACTCTTTAAAGGTTAGATTTAGGAACCATAAATCCCACATTAAAACCCAAAGAAGGACTTGTGAACTTTCCTGCCATTTTATAGATAATGAGATTTTGCACAATCTTGACCGTACCACCACTAAGTTGTTTACCAGTACTTTAAGTAAGGACATTAATGTTTCGATTATAGAGCAAGTTGACGTTGGGAATTTAGAGCAATGTGCCCAGGATCGGATAGACTAAGCATATGTAAACAAAGGGAGAACTTTTGGCAAAACCAGCTTAAAACTTTAAAGCACCACCCACCATAACTTGAATTGCTGAGTTACATAAATTTCTAAATTTTAAATTTCTTTTATTTGATTGATTGATGGATTGATATTTTGAATAAATTTACTAACATGTCTTTATATCAGGATGACTGTAAAGGTACATTTTACCGACATTTGAAGTCAAGGCGTTGTTTTGCTGATAGTTGTGGCTGACTTATAATATATATATATATATTTCGTTGCTGTACTCCTACACATTAAAAGTCGGTGTTGATTAGATCTTCAAAATAGTTCTTTGCATCATTTTATTAAACATCGTTATCTGAGATAAAATTGTTCTAAAAGCAACATATATATATATATATATATATATATATTCATCACTATTTTAATATTTTTACTGCTTGATTCAGAGAAATCTAGCTTTTTCTTTATCATTAGTTTATGGTTAACTTTCTGTGATTGGACTCGGTATTTTCGTCCCGGCCGAGTGGGACGATGCTTGCTCGCTAGTTAAGCTTACTGCAGTAGATAACACTAATTTCTACAAACTGTAGAATATTAAATATAAAATGTGTCCAGTATGGCGCAAATGCATAATTTGATTATTTTTCGACGCTGTCGTCGGGGTGAGAGTTATCCGAAATAACTGCATGCCCCTACGATTGCGTCACCACTGGTGAGCAAGCATTTGTTTGTTGTTTAGTTGTGTTGAAAGGGAACATTACTTGATTAATTCATCCATTCGGATTTTAATAACGATGAGCTATGATATATATACTGTTCATCTAAGATTATTGGATCAATTTTATTATATGATAAGATTTTATAAACGAACCTGGCACACAAAAGATTATAATGCGGAGGTTGGCTGGCTCTTTTATAATAAATACTCCAATTTACAGAATGCTTGTTATAGAATAAAACAAATAAATATTATCAGACTATACATGCAGCATGAGTAACTGGTGGATAAGCCCTCGGTAAAAACGGATCCGGAAAAGTCATTGTGGCACTCGGGTCCTTGGTATTGTCGTCGGTATATTGTCCATTACCTACGTTCTGCTTTCATAGTTTAAACAATAGTGAGTTCTAAACATAAATATAACAGCTTCAAACCGACTAAGTATGAATGAATGAAATACCTGACAATCTACACTCCTATAAAAATTAAAAAAGCAAGCATGAGTTACTCGTAGTGATGTATGATTTCTAAAAACTTTAAATTAAATTTGGCGCTCACAGGTCCTCATGATCATGTGATCGCCGCATTAGGTTCTGTAAATGCGCAGGGCACCTTCGAGCTTATATTATTCACCTTACTGAGGCAGTCAACCAACGCGCGGCTTTATTTTTATGATATGATATGTTTTGATTGTTATTAATAAATACCAAAATTTAAATTTGTTTTCCTTTCCGAGAAACTAATTTTAAATAGATTAAATAAAATGTACTCAGCCATTCTTTTTGTTTGATTATTACTCAGTATTTTTTTGTATCACGTGGTGACCCCCACGGTCGTTTCACTATAGCGTCTTCGCTACAGACTATAGCGTCTTCACTGTAGCGTCTTCGCTACAGGGGAGCCGCGCACTTCGTGCGCGGCGGGTCATACAACGTATGACAAGTATTTTTTGGTTTTGTACCGTTTTGAGTCACATAGTTTTGTACGTCTTCCTAAGACTTGTTTTCCTTTCCTAGTTTGTAAGTTATTTTAAAGATTTGTGTATATTCCAGTTGCTTTTAGAACAATTTTATCTCAGATAACGATGTTTAATAAAAATGATGCAAAGAACTATTTCGAAGATGTAATCAACACCGAATTTTAATGTGTAGGAGTTACAGCAACAAAATATTTATATACAGGACCGTAGACGAGTCCAATTCGGCGCGCGTTCTGGTAGGTTGTAAACCTACAAACAATTGCGTGCTATTGAAAAATTATCACCCCTAGTAACACGGCCAGTTTTCAAATTTTGGTGAGCTTGCTACGCGCTGCTTGAAAATTTGACAATGGAATGCGCCACGCGAGCAAATTACATAATATTGCGCGCGAGCTCAAGCCGTCTGTTTAAATTAAATCACCTTTAGTAACACGGCCAGCCAGTAGGATTTGCTGGGTACCAAATAAAGTAGTTTTAAGATTTAATTTGATGTTTTACGGTAATTACTGATTGCGGGGCTTTAAAACAAGTTTTATTAATTAAATTTCTGTTGGTTGTTGTCAATTTAAAAACCCTAGTACAATCGACAATCGTACGATGCACGGAACACTTGACAGAGCTTTGCCTAATAAAGGTAATTATCAATATTTTGAGAAAAAGGTACGCGCTACTTTTAAAAATTATTTATTTGTAGTGCAATGCGTTACTGGGCCACGCCGCGCACTCAATTATGCTTCTCGTCAGATCGGTAAAATGCGCTATTATTAACTGGGCCTCGCCGAGCTGCGAAGAATTGACATTATTAATTAATTTGTTACCTGTATCATCCGTATGATATTTTTTACATTGGTTCCAATAATTATTGAATTTGAAGAGTATAATATGTAATACCATCGATTGATATTCAAATATTTGGATTTAACCTCATTCGACGATTTCAGAGTCAAAATTTGAAAATATCATCGCAGAAGATCACACACCTATCAAATTTGTTTCACTAACTGTTATTGTAATTATAAGTTGACTCAATTCAAATATTCAATTATGACTTAACAATGCAAGAAATGGACCTTCGTTTTAAAAATGAACACTGTTATTATTTGATTCGATATATTTGATTAAATACATTTGATTAGATATATTGCTTAATGAGTGGTAATAGTAAATATTGAATAGCTAGTCACATCAGAAATAATTATCATCAGGCAGTCATGAAACGTTATCAACTGAGAAATAAGCCAAAATGTTTGTGTGCTAACTTATAAGTAAAACAAAATTTTAAGTAAAACAAAATTATTATTATTATTATATGCCACCCATAAGAGAAGAAATGTCAGGCTACAAGTGTTTTATTGCTCAGTCCTTTCATGTAGCAAATAAATCTAAGCATAAAGCTATGCTAGAGATTTATAATCGAGTAAGGATTTGTATGATTTGTAGTGGGAAAATTTATGATAGAGATTAATTTTCGAGTAAAAAACGTATTTTACAAAGCATATCTAATTTCCACGAGTTTATTATCGGATGTATAAGTTTAACTATTTTATATGATATTATTATTCATTGTAATTATATGGCAATAACATTTAAATTTTGTTTTACTTTTCAGTCGTTCTGAAATTTTTACTATTCAAACTAATCTCCACGATTCGCAGCCTTAATGCCCTCTTCCCTCATCACTGTCAACCGTTCTGTCATGCTCAATGATTATACAGTTAAAATCACATTTACCACTCCCTGAAATATTTTTATTAACAGAGAGTTATTGTACATGGTGTCCGTATATTCTTTTCATGCAAGTGTTTTGATGTGATATCAGTATAAATTTAAGAAACCGTTTAGAACTTTACTATTACATGTACTTTCATCTGTGTTCAAAAATTGCCTACTTATAGTTCCTTCATTCTTGGTTGATTCTTTGATTAATTCCTCCACAACTTCGAGTGTTTATTCATTGTACATGACAGTTTTAAATTATATTTCATAAAAGTAACACTTAAATAAGATTATTATCCAAGCATGCCAATAACAAAAGCAGCGCGAGGGAGGGAGCCAAATTGGAAAGAGTGGGACTCAAAGGCGCAGAAAGCTGGGCTAAGGCACACTGTCTTTTGTGGTGGTGGTGACACTTACGTTGGGCATTGGGAAAATAACCTAAAACAAGGAAAAGGTTGGTTTTTTGCTTAAATGTTATATTATGGTCTGAATATGTCGTCAGTCCTTCCTTACTTCCGTTAGTAACCATGCAACGAAAAAGTTGCGCGCGCGAGGATTGCTTGCGGAGATTTGATGTATAGATAGCCTGTGATCTATGAATGCGCGGCGCAACTGTGTTTTAATATATACGATGTAATGTATAATATTAGGTTATAAGCCCAATTTGTACGTGGCACGCGTAGTGTATTGATGTGTACACGAGTATAGTTACCTTTGCTTACAATTTAAGTTCTTTGCTTTACAAGTTAAGTTCTTTGGCAATTGAACTGAATTTCAAGTGTTTCCTGTACTTAATGCTTAATTTATCAATATTATTATCATGGAGACTGAAGTGAGCTGATTGGAGCTTGTACTTAAATTTATAGTAAATGTGAAATGGAAATCTAGCGTTCGCCAAAACGAAACAACGGGCGCAATTCTTGTTTGTATACAAATCAATTCAGTTAAAACATGACATAACATGTTTAATATCTAGTGATGTTCATTATTGCCAGGGTATAAAAATTCAAGGTAACATTATCTCATCAGATCTGACTGGGAATTTCAACAATAATCCTATAGTCAAGAAATTAAGTTACAAATTATCAGTAACAATCAATAACAACCAAAATCATAGTAGAAATAATGAATGATAAGAAGGAATATTGACCTGAAGATTGTTCATTGTCCTTAATTGTGCTCATTACTGAGGATTCTTCTAACCATTTCGAGCGACATTTCAGGTGCGTCAATTGGTACCATATGTCCACTCATAAGTACCCAGTAGTATTCAAAGTTCTTGTAAGCTTTGTGGAAAGCTCCTGTTCTCTGCTCCTTTGCCAATGATGGTGGATATAGCGGAATTCTTTCTTGTTGGTAATAATCCTCCAAGCTTGGCCAAGTCAGCTTATTTATCCACTTGTCCTGTCCAGCAGAGTTGATGATTAAATCTAGCATTCTATTGTAGACTATGACTCTAACACCATTTGCTAAACAGTCGTCAACTGAGTCGATTACATCAATTATCATTTCATCTGCCAAGTAACTGTGACATGCAACTCCTTGAGCCCCCCACTTTATCTCTTTTGGAATGATGCCAAACTTTTCTCTCATCTTCTCATTCATCAGTTTCTTTACATTTTCTCCATTGTAATCTATGGTCAGCCTTTTCATTGGGTAACTACTGCTCTTGAACGATTTGACGAAATTCTTTTTCTCTGATTTGGTCATCATTTCGTAATTTTGTAAGTGCTTCAAATTTTGTATGGCTTCCCAGTTCGGTCCGACAACTCTCTTCAGTGATGGGGCTGGTTGGTGGTGGTAAATAATGTTATAGAAGAACACGTCATCTGTAACATTTTGAATCATTTCCATGATAACTCCTAGGTAGTTACTTGAACTGTTATAGTCTCCTGACATGTATGCTAGCTCCATGTCCATAGCCATCATTTTCATCGTTTTGTACTGTCGGTAGTCTAGTTGACTCATCTGGAAGAGATAATCAGGGTACATGGCTGCTGAATCCACCAGAGAGACTGCACCATCCCCTATAGCTACACCACCGAGTTCAACATCACTCAGGAAGCCTTTACTTTGAGCCTCGACAATCTTACTGCCAAATACTGGTGCTACTTTACCTCCATATGACTCAGAGAATATGAAGATGGGTGGTAGGCTAGATCCGTTGTAGTGCTTTGCACGAAGCATGGTGCTGATTTCACCTAGAGCTGTCACCAGGTCATCTGCAACTTCGTAAACTGTGGTTGTGAAGGCATCCTCCTCGTCCACGTAGCTGAAGCCTGCTCCAACTGGGGAGTCTATGAAGAGCAGACTAGCTTCTTTTAACCAGGTGTAGTTTCTGGGTTGAAGGTTGTTGTCTAGTGGTCCTGAGAAATTGGTTTGCTTATTTCGTGTAATTGTATAATCTAATTCCTATTCAAGCTTATGACTTATGAGTATTGGAGTTTTATCAGTTTTAATGTGAAATCCTAACTTACCAACTTCCATGAAGTTTCCATATCCAGTGCCAGATCCTCCAGGACCACCCTGCAGCCAAATAACAATAGGACGATTATCAACATCACCACAAGGGGTTTTCATAAACCACCAAAACATGTGAGCTTTTGGGCGCACATCAACATAGCCCCAAGCTTCTTGTAATTCTGCTGGAATCACACAATCTGAGTACACCAAACCCAGCAAAACAAGACCAAGTAATCCCCTCCGAATCATGGTACTGCAGTTTATTAAAATACACTACCGAAGAAAGATGCAACAAAATGTAGTATCTGGAACCAGCTTATACTTAAAAGGAAACAATTTTATCACGACGTACTTGTAATAGGAGATAAACTTATCTTGACAAAGAAAAGGGGGCCGGGCTGAGATTAGGTTCCAGAAAAAAACATGACCGACTCAAAGTCAAATTTTAAATAGAGTAGGGCCAGAAACATGACATCACATGGTTTAATGCCACTCCGCTGTTTTCCCAAGAATATCTGTTATCTTATATCGGGGCTATCAAAGAGATACTAACGCAGTTAGTACTCTTGTACTAAGTGGTGGGTCTGCTGCTCATTTCCCAGAAAACCAGTTAGTACATGGTACTAAAGGGTTCATTTTTTGGGTGTCCAACCCCAGAAAAACGGGCATTTTACCTCAAATTTCAATTTTGGGAATGGGTTTTGAGGGTTTTTGATTTTTTTTTGGGTTTTTATGAATTTTGTTCCTGTTTTTGTAACTTTTTATCTAATTCGACTACATTGAAAACAAAACCCCTACTAAATAGTGGGTATAATAAATCTAGCAATGTGAAATGATAAATCCAGGAAGATTTTGTTGTGCCAATTTAATTAAGGGTCAAAGGAAAAGTCCTGCAGCAAATTTTGAAAAATATTCTTACAGTAATAGGTCTCACTCACAGGTCCTCTCACTTACAGTAATAGGTCTCACAACATGCAAGGAGGGAGAAACTGGAACAATTTTTGGAAAAATTTTTTAAAGGAATGAATTCTAGCAATGAGGTAATGTAAATTTGGACTACAAGGGGCAAACTGTGTCCTACTAATTTACTCCCACGGCATAAAAGAGTGATCAGTAATGTTATCTGAATTTTATAATCGCTAGGCTTCTGAACTTCTGATGAATCCTGACATGTAATATGTTTTGTTTTAAAGACCTTTAATTCACACACCAAAACTTTAAATTTTATCAAATCACAAATTTCCTAATATATACGTCTCTTATTAAGTTAAAAAGTCAAGGGTGCTGCCGTTATACTTCAATTAAAATAATTGATCACGCCGGATCACGATGTTACTTTATCAAAATCAGCTACTATACCCGTTTAATATTAGAATATTTAATATATAAATTAACAGAATTCTGGTTCATTGAATAATTCTGGTATTGGAAATACTGAACACGGCATAGAAGAGTAACCAGCATGTTATCTGAATTTTATAATCGCCTCCCCTACCCCCCTCTTCCTACACCTGTGACTAAGAACCGTTTAAACTAAATGATTTGGTGGTTCAGATGGGGATCACCGGATCATGCTTCATTTCTTCTACTATACCTTGTACTATTACAGGTTTTATGATGTAAAACGAATCTAAGAATTATTATAATGTTAGAGAACGCTCGTATATCTTATTCATTATTGAGAATTCTTCGGACAATTTCTAGCAGCATTTCAGGTGCGTCAATTGGTACCATATGTCCACTCATGAGTACCCAGTAGTATTCAAAGTTCTTGTAAGCTTTGTGGAAAGCTCCTGTTTTCTGCTCTTTTACCAACGATGGTGGGTAGAGTGGAATCCTTTCTTGTTGGTAATAATCCTCCAAGCTTGGCCAAGTCAGCTTATTTATCCACTTTTCTTGTCCTGCAGAATTAATGATCAAATCTAGCATTCCATTATAAACGATGACTCTAACACCATTTGCTAAACAGTCGTCAACTGATTTTATGACATCCATTATTAGTTCATCACCCAGGCTGATATAACATTGAATTGACTGCACTCCCCACGTGATATTCCTTGGAATAATGCCAAACTTTTTCCTCATTTTTTTGTCCATCAGCTTCTCCAAATTTTTCCCGTTATAGTCAACGGTTAGCCGCCTCGACGGTTCCGTGTTCTTTTTAAGCGATCTAAAATACGCCTTCTTTTCCGATCTTGTCATCTTGTCATAGTTTTTCAGATGCTTCATACTTTCTACATTCCTCCAGTGAGCCTCCACATCTGTTTTAAGGGATGGGCTAGGCTGGTGGTGGTAGGCTATATTGTATAAGGACACGTCATCGGTAACATTTTCAATAGTCGTCATAAGATCTGCAATAAGGAAGAAGGAGGCATTGTAATCTGCTCTTAAGTAAGCCTCCTCCATGTTTTGAACCATGACTTTCATAGTACTGTATTGCTGATAGTCTACCTGACTTGTCTGAAACAAATATTCTGGCCACATTGAAGCTGAATCCACGAGAGAGACCGCACCATCTCCTATAACTACACCTTCCAGTTTAACATCACTCAGGAAGCCTTTACTTTGAGCCTCAATAATCTTACTGCCAAGTACTGGTGCTACTTTACCTCCATATGACTCAGAGAATATGAAGATGGGTGGTAGGCTAGATCCGTTGTAGTGCTTTGCACGAAGCATGGTGCTGATTTCACCTAGAGCTGTCACCAGGTCATCTGCAACTTCGTAAACTGTGGTTGTGAAGGCATCCTCCTCGTCCACGTAGCTGAAGCCTGCTCCAACTGGGGAGTCTATGAAGAGCAGACTAGCTTCTTTTAACCAGGTGTAGTTTCTTGGTTGAAGGTTGTTGTCTTGTGGTCCTGAAGCAATTTTTATTCGATTGACATCAAGCCTAAGTTATATTATACGATAAGATTAAAGTTCGCAATGGATGACCCTTTAACCATTTTAAGACTTTAAAATCTGATATCAAATTATCAATCTGCTTGCTCACCAATCTCCATGAAGTTTCCATATCCTGTGCCAGATCCTCCAGGACCACCCTGCAGCCAAATAACAATAGGACGATTATCAACATCACCACAAGGGGTTTTCATAAACCACCAAAACATGTGAGCTTTTGGGCGCACATCAACATAGCCCCAAGCTTCTTGTAATTCTGCTGGAATCACACAATCTGAGTACACCAAACTCGATAGAGCTATAAGCACCAGACCTCTGAATGCGGTCATGGCGAAGAGGAAACGGCAATGCAAGACTGAGAGCCAAATAAGTGATCTAAACAGATTTGATAGTCTTAGTTTCAAATTTGATCGTGAAAGATGGTAAACGAATTTTCACTGAACAAGTGGTCAATCTGAACGGTTTAAAATACAATTAAAGTTGCAACTCATAGCTGAATGTTAGACTTGAACATATAACTAAACGGATTGGGGCAAAAAAGCTGACCTCCCTTAAATTGCATTAACCTTTACCGTGTGTAATATTGTAATACATTTTATGATATTAGAAATTGGTTTTAATACCTGGAGATTTGTTTCCTAAGCCAGCAGATGGCTTTTAACGTGTTGAACTGTGTGTTAATTCGATTAGGTCATGCTTTTTAATTTGTGGTAAAATTCAAGCAATATTTAGATCATTTATCTGAGTTTTAGTGTGAAAAAAGAGTATTAAATATTTCCCTCTCCGAGGAAAGATTCGGGACGCTGGCCACCATTTGCTGTGGTCAGCGGGTGTGATTTTAATGGTAAATTAAATCAGTTCAAAAGATTGAATAGGTTTTAACTTTTAACACCTGGCCTCTATCCCTTTGTGATAGATCGGTCAACTGTCTCCGGGTAACTCTCGTAACTACTGAACTGTGAATTGAGGGAGCTGGGTGCCGTGCCTAATCAAATACACACAATAAAGTAAAGAGATTGTAACATATTCTAAGCTTAAAGAACAAGAACCAGTGAACGCTTCGACACGACCTTTGTCATTCTACTTAACCGGTTCAGACTTTATTATTAAGACGGCAAAGAATTTATTTCACACCTTGTCGGGAACGATCTCTGTTCAAGACGGCGACCCCATTTGTTGTACGACGACTATAAAAAGATCTGATCAAAACGCAAACCTCATTCTACAAAGTCACCACTTCAAAGACGGACAAAGAAAGAAAAAGGATGATTTGGACGTTAATGTTCCTATTCATAGCAGTGGCGGCTGAAGACAACAAGGTCAACCCGGACATCGTCTACAAGTACAGTGACGACTTTGAGCTGATCTGGCATGACGGAGGATCTGGTGCTAAGTACAGTGGATCAATATGGCGTGCTCTGAACTACCAGCAAAATTTCTGTTCTATAGGAGATGTCGCCACTGATGGCCGGGGTCAACCCACAGATTTAGCAGTGTTCGTCTCAGAAAGGAAGACAGGAGCTCTGGTAAACCCAACCAGCTTCACGGCCGTGTGGACAGATCAAGGCAGTGGTTCAGATGCTGACGTCTACATCTACAAGATGAACGCTCCTGCTGGCTACACTTGTCTTGGAGGAGTTGCCTTGAACAGTTACCACGTAAAGCCTGATCCGAAGAAGTACTGTTGTGTAAAGAAAGAGTATGTAGTGCAGGCAGATACGATGTACACATGGAGTGACAGAGGCTCTGGGGCTTCTCTAGACGGCAGTTTGTGGACAGTGATCAGGGCTAGCGGAGAGGCATTCGGACTTGATGCAGGAACCTTCATTCCTGTCCTTGGATACTCCAGGCCAGATGCTTCTACAGTTTATCTCCTGAAAGCGGATGAAAGCAAAGTCAGAGACGTGTGGCAACTACCAACTGGCGAAGACAAACTCCTGAACTTACACGAAGTAAAGGAACTGGAGATGAAGCAGATATGGAATGATCAGGGTTCGGGAGCAAGTCAAGATGTATCAATCTGGAGGGCTGAGCCTAAAAAAGGATACTATCCTCCGGGAGACATTGTTGTAAGATCATACGCAAAGCCTACAATAGGGTTCCTGCTTAGACCTACTGATAAAAACGGAGACATAGTTCTACCTCCGATTTCCTACAAGTTGGTCTGGCATGATGGTGGGTCGGGTGCTTCCCTAAACTGCGGAATTTGGAGTGTTATCTGTCCTGGTGGATATGTCGCTCTGGGAAATGTAGCAACTAACGGCCCGAAGCCTGAATTGGGATCCGTGTACTGCGTGAACAGCACTTTTACCACATACGGGACAGACAAAAATTGGAAACCAGTCTGGGTAGACAACGGTGCTGATGCGGACCATGATGTCAAGATCTATGAGACTGATGCAACAACATCCAAAGACCTGCAGTCAGTGAGAGGGTTCGGGGCTGTATCTAACTACCACTCCAAGCCCAGACCTCCTTACCTCCTGAAGTCAGAGTCCGTGCAATACTGGGCTGAGAAACCTATTGCAAAGATCGAGATGTACAACGTAGAGTACAATCTTGATGTAGAAAAGCAGCAGTCTTCCCCGATTACGCTCTATCCTACGATTTTGGAAAACGAATCTGACATGGACCAGACAGGCAAGAGAACTGTAGAGTTTACCTACGCTAATACCCAATCCTACACCTTTAGTCAGGCTGTCCAACTGGGAATTGAAATGGAGATATCAGCAGGGTCCCCTATAATTGGCGTAGAATCGAAGACAACGCTCAGTGCTAAGTTCACTTCAAATTGGATTTCTGGTGTCACCAACACCACCATGGTTACAGACAGAATGGATGCGTGGATTAAAACAAAACCAAAATCCAAAATAGAAGTTTATGTCACAGCTTCCAAGACGAAAGCTGACATTCCCTATACAGCTACCATGAAGAAGATTTACTTTGACGGTACTTATGCAACCGCAAGGGTAACTGGAGTTTACAAGGGCGTTGCTACAACTCAGTTTACTATCACGTACGGCGAAAATGAGTACTTCCCAGAAGATACTAGATCATGAGTTAATTTTGTTTGATTGAATTTTAAATATCCAACTTCTGTTTTACTGCTAAGACTTAAATATTTTCGATCTGACTTTGATCTTCAAACTTTCAAGTATTCATTAGTGTTGTAATATATAATGGTATTCGGTATAAACTGGTCACAGAATTGAGGTGTTAAATCAATTAAATGTCGGGTCAGCGATCCAACTTCCACAAAATGTGGTAACAAGCCCTTAGCTACATGCAGCAAGAACTAAAGCGTAATGCCGTAATGGGGAGATGTGAAAAAGGTTGTCAGTAAGAACAGTAAATTATCTATCTCGAAAACTTGATCTCGTCAAATTTACTAAAAACTTGACATATACTCGATACTGTTCCACCCGGTAACCGCAGTCCGCACTATATTACGACAATGCTGTCGTGACTCGTGATATAGTGCTGTCGTGATATAGTGCGGGAACCGTTCATCTTCATTGTAAATTTAATCTTGTAAAAATCACCGGCTGAGATGTGCCCAACTAGAGGGTGTTCCAAAAATAAAAGGCAACCAAGTGATTTTTGTTCATAACTCTAGAACGGTTTGGGAACGTTATTTAAAACGTTAATCGGGAAAGAAAGCTTCCACATTTGTTTTAAGAGTTTAAGGGATGGGTTAGGCTGGCGTTTGTAGATTATATTGTATAATGTACAAGCCACAAGGACACAATATGATCAGTTATATTTTCAATAGTCGTCAAGATCACTAAGAAGGAAGAAGGAGGCATTGCAATCTGCCCTTGACACTTCACGTTTTGTGGCTAATATTAACATTTTTTGGGTCATGCTTATATTTCTGATTTCTGACTCGATTACAAATCCTTGCTTCTTCTTGCAATTTATACTAACGATCACAATCAACGTGTTTTGAAAGAGAAATAGAAAAGATAGTAGATACAATATTTAATTTAGACGATTGTTGATCGAAGAAACGCGTGTTTCTAAGAGTTTACTAGTTTCTTTGTACATTGTTTGTTGCAAAAACTATCTGAATCGTTCCAGATAAACAAGCATCATCGAAACACATCCCACTGGATTAATAGTTTTTAAACGGTTTTTCGTCTCACCAATGAGATTCTTGCAGATTGTTTTATCTTTTACATATTATTATAAATTTAATTTTTACCATGTCCATTGTCCACCTGTTTTTCCACTATGAGGGGAGCCTGCAGAAGGACGTTGTGTTGAATACTTTCTGAAATATGATTTGAAATGTAAACCACGAAATCGACCATTATTAACTTCAGGCCCCGCGCCACCAGCTCAGACGTTTCCCTCAGAAATCTTAACTGAGATCCCAGGGATTTAAGATGGTGAATCTGAAGATGGAAGCATGATGACTGAGTCGGATGAGGAAGACAGTATCATTTTACAGTTAAAAACCCTGATTCCTCGTTTGGAAGAAAATGACCGCGGTAAATCGGGGTTTTACCGTATTCAATGAGGAATCGAATGCTCGTTATAATGTGATGGGTAGAAATGTGCAAATTGTTCCTCGATGTTTATTAACTGCAATTTCATCGACGATTTGATCAAGTAGAATAGGTCAATTTTGACCGGGAGTAAGCCGGGATTCCGGTCATTCCTTAAATCAGAGTTTCATCTTTAACTCTTTAAGGAAACGTTTTTTTTTAAGTGTGGTGAAAATGACACTTTTGACAGTAAAAGTGAAATGACTAGTAAGTGTTGCACAGAAATGCCTTCAATCTTAACTGCCCCTGTAAGGAAAATCCATTAGTTATGTCATAATGTAGTACCAAGGCAGTGCCAGTTTTCAGCATTTTGGACTATAATGTTTAAAACGCCCTATAATGTTAAAAAACTAATTTTGCGACTTTTCTGTTCAAAATTCAGATTATGTCTCAGAATTATTCAAAGAATTTTTGGATTTTGGTAGGAATACTTAAACTGTGCTCAAAATAAGCAAAAAGTCATTTGTTTGGTAAAATTTCTAGTTTGGTTGAAGGGGTTGTACAAGGCCCATACTTTTGATCAGCTTGTGAATGAACTGTAACAAATTTCAAGAAACGTTGGTCTGTAATAATGTAACCTAGGAAAAATCTATTGTGTGCCTGTATTCAGTAAAAATTCTCTTACAAAATTACAATTGAGTTTTTTTACATTGCAGTAGCTAGACAGCAAAAAATTAGAACGTTTTTCATTCATACTATCGAGATTAAGTCTGCTCAACAGCATTCTGTTCGAAAATCAAATTAAAAGTGTGTCAGTTTTCAGTAAAAAGTCATTTTTAGGTCAAATTCATCACGATTAAAAATTCAAAAGAAATGACTCTTTGCTGAATATTGGCACTATACAATTGATGTCTGACAGCATAAGCAGGTTCATCAAGATGATTCTTTACAAAATCTAACGATATTGTGTGTTCTAATTCAGCAAAAAGTCATTTTATAAATAATATTTTTAGCTTAAAATCTTCATAGAAATGACTTTTTGCTGATTATTGGCACGATAAAGTAGATTTCTGACAACAATATCATGTTCATCATGGAAATTTGGTACATTCTATTGATGTTTGAAGTTCATTGTGCCAGTTTTAAGTCGGTTATAGCAGGTTATCACAACACTGCTTACAAAGCACAAATTTTATGTGATTTACCATTGGTAATGGTATATGCCTAGAAAAAGAAGTCATTTTAAGCTGAATAATGGCATACAGTGCAACAAAATTGTGCCACATTAAACAAAAAAAGCATACCGCTCCCTCAAACAATATTCTGAACTAAAAAGAGTGCCATTTAGCAGTAAGAATGACTATTTCTGTCAAATAAGTCACTTTTTACTGATTTTCAGGACACATATGCTGTTTAAATTTTCAGGATATAACTAAACTTAGATTCGTATCTGCAACATAAGCAATTCGGTGGTTTGAGATGATTGATGATGCTGATATTGACTTACAATAGTTGGTAATTCCCACGTTGGCTGCAGCAGTCACTACAGCTGATTAGTGGCACTCAAATATTATTATATGTTTTTGATCCCTTTATGAACACATTACTTTTCGAAATAGATGCTTAAACTAACACTAGTACTTTAAATACTTATTTCATCAATTAAAAAAAATTAAATTTCAAGCTGATACATGTGTGACTTTTTGCTGATGGCTGGCACATAGACATGTAGGAATTAGTTTAAAGGCACAACCAAACATTATCTTATCCAGAAAAAAACACAGTTACGCCTTGATCTTTTTAATATTTTGACAAGAACCATCAATAGAGCAGTCGTATTCAGATAAACAAATGACTTTTTGCTGAATTCTGTGACTTACTGGAATTGCTAATAATGACTAAAATGCTGAAAACAGTTACTCACTCCAATCTACTAATGTAATGTGAACAATATTTGAGCAAAATATGGCGAAGTCAATGGAATTAGTCAATTGGAGGTTAAAATGGTTTGCTGATTTTTGGCACTCAGTTTAATTGCTCATAAGTCATATTCTGCTTGAGCCTGGCACTTCGTTTTTTCAAATCACAACTGCTGAATATTTTCACTTCATCCTATGTACAAATTTATGGTTGCACTCTAAAAAGCATTGCGACTTTTTCCTCATTTTGTGCACTCTACTTTGAAAAAAGTGAAATCAGCAACACACCGCACTTTAAAAAAAACGTGTCCTTAAACAAAATATTAAAAATTTCGCCCTTCCAAAATAGTATTTATGACGCTCGACGCCATTTTCTCTAGTCAGCGGCGCGGGTGTGACTAAATTGTTCCAAAGATTGAATAGGTTTTAACTTTTAACACCTGGCCTCTATCCCTTTGTGATAGATCGGTCAACTGTCTCCGGGTAACTCTCGTAAGTACTGAACTGTGAATTGAGGGAGCTGGGTGCCGTGCCTAATCAAATACACACAATAAAGTAAAGGAGATTGTAACATATTCTAAGCTTAAAAGCTTAAAGAACAAGAACCAGTGAACGCTTCGACACGACCTTTGTCATTCTACTTAACCGGTCCAGACTTTATTATTCACACGGCAAAGAATTTATTTCACACCTTGCCGGGAACGATCTCTGTTCAAGACGGCGACCCCATTTGTTGTACGACGACTATAAAAAGGTCTGATCAAACGCAAACCTCATTCGACAAATTCACCACTTCAAAGACGGACAAAGAAAGAAAAAGGATGATTTGGACGTTAATGTTCCTATTCATAGCAGTGGCGGCTGAAGACAACAAAGTAAACCCGGACATCGTCTACAAGTACAGTGACGACTTTGAGCTGATCTGGAAAGACCAAGGTTCTGGGGCCACCCGTAATGGAGCACTGTGGCGTGCTCTGAACTACCAGCAAACTTTCTGTTCTCTAGGAGACATCGCCACTGGAGACTGGGACCTACCCACAGATAAAGCAGTGTTCGTCTCGGAAAGGAAGGCAGGGGCTCTGGTAAACCCAACCAGCTTCACCATCATATGGAAAGACCAAGGCAGTGGTTCAGATGCTGACGTTACCATCTACAAGATGAACGCTCCTGATGGCTACACCTGTCTTGGAGGAGTTGCCTTGAACAGTTACCACGTAAAGCCTGATCCGAAGAAGTACTGTTGTGTAAAGAACGAGTATCTAGTGGAAGCAGATGCGATGTTCATTTGGAATGACAGCGGCTCTGACTCTTCCATGGACGTCAGTTTGTGGAGAGGAATCAGAACTGGAGGAGAGGCATTTGGACTTCACACAGGAACCTTCATTCCTGCACGTGGATACTACAGGCCAGATGCTTCTTCAATTTATCTCCTGAAAGCGGATGAAAGCAAAGTCAGAGACCTATGGACCTTACCTACTGACGAAAGCAAGTCTCTGAACTTACACGAAGTGGAGGAGATGAAGTTGATCTGGAACGACATGGGAACGCATGCGAGATTTGACGTTTCAATCTGGAGGGCTGAGTCTAAAAAAGGATACTTTCCTCCAGCAGACATCGCTGTTGGATCCTACACCAAGCCTGGAATAGGGTTCCTGCTGAGACCTACAGATAAAAACGGAGACGAAGTTCGACCACCCATTTCCTACAATAAGATCTGGAATGATGCTGGGTCAGGTGCTACCAGAAATGTGCAAATTTGGAGTGTCAACTGTCCTGGAGGGTATGTCCCTCTGGGAAATGTAGCAACTAGCGGTGCGGAACCTGAATTAGGATCGGTGTACTGCGTGAAGATCACTTTCACAACCTACGGATCGGTCAACAACTGGGAAAAGGTTTGGTCAAACCAAGGCCCGGGCGGGTGGGGTAATGGTGTCACGATCTATGAGGCTAAATCCGACGACCAGCAGTCAGTTAGAGGGTTCGGGGTTGCGCATGGTTACGAAAACAAGCCCAGACCTCCGTACTTTCTGAACACAGAGTTCGTGAATTACTTAGCTGAGAAACCTATTGAAAGAATCGAAATGTACAACGTAGATTACGATATTAATGGAGAACAACAGCAGACATCTCCGGTTTCAATCGCCACTACAGTTTTGACGAACCCCAATGACAATGTACAGGAAGCGAGCAGAACCATAATGGTTTCCTATACCAATTCTGACACCTTCACATTTACACAGGCCATCCAAGTGGGAATTGAAGTGGAAATGACAGCCGGAATACCACTTATAAATCATAAGACAACGATTGGTGTTCAATATACTTCCACCTGGATTTCTGGTAGTACGAACACCACCATAAAGAGAGACCAAGCTACCGCAACGGTAATGGTACCACCACATTCAAGGCAAACGGCTTATATCATCGGTAAAGAGTACAAAGCTGACATTCCCTACACGGCCACCATCAAGAAGATTTACTTCGACGGTACTTATGGAATCGCTAAGGTAACTGGAGTTTACAAGGGCGTGGCTATAAATACTATTGAAGTTACGTATGGTACGACTGAACCCCTTCCAGAGGACGAGCCAGAAGAATGATTACCTTCCAGAAGAATAATTGTTTTTGTTTGAATTAGAGAAATATACCCTTTGTTTTACTGCTAAAAGCTCGCCGTTTTATCTTATTCCGAAAAATTATTAAGATCATTAACATGATTAAGTAGCACTACTATTTACCATAGGTAGTATACTGTGGTAAATGTATAAATTATATAATGTAGAGATATGACAAATATACCAATAATCACACTGTCCATATCGGTCAGTCGGTAAGAGTGTCAGTTTAAAAACTACAGCATTTTAGGTAGGAACTTGTATGGTCATAGGTTCCCGACCTATAAATAATGTCTCCTCACACCAGAGTGAAACTCTTGCACTGATTGCTCCACTCAAGGACTACCAATTTATACTGACAATATCATAGAACTACAACAGAGCTTGGGAAAACAGCTTGGGAAAAATGGCAGGATGTTATAATTACGTTCCAACTGATAACTGATTTTCACCCCAAAATCGGGATGGAAAAAATTGTATCCGGGAAAAGTTTTCCAAAGTTTCTGGGGGAGTAAAAGCGATGTGGAAGTTTCGGTTCCGGAATGTGAAGGTTCTAGTTTTGCACTCATGATATACCGCGCCCCGGTCTTGTTATATATAATGCTGGTTAACTGCCATAATTTCCTCGTCCGCAAAAAAGTTAAGAATTCTTGTTACAGCGTCGGACGCGTAGGATTTCTGTCAGGAACCCATGCTAACTGTAACTTTGTTAGGTACCTACCATTGGGCTAAAGCAAATGCAGTGTATGATGGTGATTGGAAGGAAGACAAGAGACACGGATACGGAACGTACAGTATTATAATCGAGGAACTACCCTTCAAACAGTACGGTGGAGGGTGGAAGAATGATAAGCGTCATGGGTTAGTTACATTAATTATTCTTCATTATTATATTATATATATTTTATACATTTTGTAATATATATATACATTTTATAATACTATATAATATGGTATACATTGTATACATTGAATAGATATTAGGTCACTAGTACTACGTAACAAAGATGTATTTTCATGAGCGTTGTGACATTACATTACATTACAGGTATGGTACATTTTATTACGCTGAAACAGAGTACTACGAGGGAGAGTGGTATGAGAATAAGAGGAATGGTTGGGGTAGAATGTACTATAAGGATGGATCGGTTTACGAGGGCAGGTTTGTTTGTTTGTTTGTTTGTTTGTTTGTTTGTTTGTTTGTTTGTTTGTTTGTTTGTTTGTTTGTTTGTTTGTTTGTTTGTTTGTTTGTTTGTTTGTTGTTTGTTTGTTTGTTTGTTTGTTGTTTGTTGTTTGTTTGTTTGTTTGTTTGTTTGTTTGTTTGTTTGTTTGTTTGTTTGTTTGTTTGTTTGTTTGTTTGTTTGTTTGTTTGTTTGTTTGTTTGTTTGTTTGTTTGTTTGTTTGTTTGTTTGTTTGTTTGTTTGTTTAGTCAGTGTATTAGGGCAGGATTGTGGCTGTTTCCCTTTCTTCAACCTTTCATTTCATTTGATAAATAGCTATATGTAAAAACAATGTGTACTTGAAAACAATGGTTTGTACATTGTAGCAGATTGTAGCTGCTTTGGGTACTCGTGCTTGAGTTTTGGGACTTACGATCAGTACATTACAATATTGTAATACATACAGTTTATACATACAATATACGGTACATTACAATATTACATGATACAGTGTTTTACACATTAATACATACTACTGATGAGTGTATTCGAGCATGTATTGTTCCTGCAGGGGACCTATTTCTACAAAATGTGATGCCTGATGATAATAGCTAATACAAGAACAATCAACGATTGTAAATAAACTTCTAAAATCATACGCTTTGCATAAGTCGTAATCAGCAAACCACAAAATTGGTAAGTAGTGTTTAACAGTCTCTCTGGTAGGTGGGACAATGATATGAGGGACGGAGAGGGGACTCTCAGATTACCAAATAACAACAGATTCGAGGGACTGTGGTCACGTGACAAGAAGAACGGTGCCGGGTGCCATTACTACCTTGACAGAGGACAAGTTAGTTATTTAACTATTTTTAAATAGACTAGCTAGTTTAATATTAAAGTTATACCTGCGTCCAAAGTTCTTATAATTGTACATATTTAGACCTCTGGCAGGCGTTGGACTGTTTTTGCGAGAATGTAAATTGTACAATGTACATAGAAACAAGATGTTCATGTTGTTTGCATCAGCTTCTTAGTGGCATGGAGGACTAGTTTTATTTGAACACGTGGCAACGCAACGAATCAATAGCTTATTATTATCATGCGGGTCAAATCAATGAAATGAAATGCAAAAAATGAGAGCACTCCACAATCATGCATGCAAAACTTAAAAAGTCCGATTCTTCATTCGAAAGACCATTTGCCGCATGAAAGTTTTTCGTCAGCTTGATCAATTACAAAATATTAGAGATAAAATTGTTAGAGATTGTCACGTACTCTTTTGTGTAAGATAATTTCATATGATAATCTCCGTATTATTGTATTGCTGTCATCTGTAATCCTGTTCCTAGTTACAGTTTATTTTATTGATTTAATGATGTGCGTGGCATTTCTACAATGGTCTTCTTTGTGATCAAACACACAAGATTGATTTGTCCGTTTTTTATTGTCTTTTTGCTTCGTTACCTGCCGTTTGTATACTACAGAAATATACGTTACTCCCGTGCCATGTTACGACAGTTACACCATTAGATTACCGCTCGTTCCCCAGGCATACGAGGGAGTATGGGTTGAAAACATCCCAAAATGCGGTGAAATGAGGGATGTACAGCGGGACTCAGCACCACGACCTACCGAGTACCCCATACCCAGCCTGGAACTTGCTGCACCCACAAGTGTGGTCAGAGAAGCCAGGGACAGTTTCATGCCTGAAGATTGAAGGTGTCAAAGGGAGTTTTATTGGGGGATTTTATTATTGTGTACTAGAGAGACGCGATTGCTTGATAAAAAGCTAGAGTTGATTTTGAGCATTGAGCTTATAACATGCTAAGAATGAAACGTTATGTATTTCCAAAAAATCTGCTAACTAACTTGATCTACAGCCAATGCTGGTCAAGAGAATTTAGGACGGAGCTTTCTTGCTCAAGATTTTACATGTGAAAGTTGTAAATATATTGTACAGCGAATTTAATGATTTTCCGTTCACCGTTGCAATTTCAGATTCATTTATTCCCATCTTTATTTTGTTTAAATCTCGATTGTCTATGTATTGCAAGATTTAAGAATTCTTTATTTTGATCCATTCATAATTTGCCCCGAATGCTACCAGAAGGGTAGAATTGTTTTTGCTTCATTTAAATATAAAATATTTAATAATCTAATAAACCGCAATCTCAGTTGCACACTGAGGTAGCACTATGCCATTGCCAGCCAAAGAGCCCATGTACTGCGCCGAGCAGATCAAGATACCTCCAGCACTCCCAGACATCCTCAAACAGTTCACCAAAGCAGCCATTCGCACCCAACCTGGAGATCTTCTCTCCTGGTCGGCTGCCTACTTTGACGCGCTCAGCGCTGGCAAGGCTCCTCCTGTTAAGAACAGATTTGAGGTGAGATATTTGGATTCGTGCCTAATTGGAAATTTAACTTTTGGCTTTGTGAGAAAGCAGATTGGTGTTGATATCTTAACTTGCATCCTAAAAACAGGTTGAAAGAATTCATATTGTTTATTTTATATTATTTATATAATATTTGAATTTATTTTGAACGTGTCCTATCCCTCAGGCTACATCAGAAGGAAAGCACATCACACCAGGTCTGTTATCAGTGTTACACAAACAGCTACAAGGTGATACCACTGTCCCAATCAACGAACTCAAAGCAAAATGGTCTCAACTGTCTCTTCCTGGTGATAGGTGAGATATGATTATGATATGAAATAAACAGTAGGGAGGTTGCTCACCATGATCAAGTGGTAGCTGGTGACGTTATAAGATATTGTTACAATGCTATCAATCTTTCGTGTTAATAAAACTGAATTGTGTAGACGACTCGAACACGTGTTCATTCAAATGTGGACACCAGCGTTTTAACCTATCTGACGAAACGTGCTCGCCACGTGGCAAGTGGATATTGCTTGAAAACTTAGTAATTGTAAATGTAATTGTCGACAGAATTCTGTTTTTTCAACATTTATCATCTACCTTGTTATTAATACCTCGTGGCTTGACCATAATAATACAATCGTTTAAACTTTTTCTTGTCATCAAACCTTTCAGTTACTATTCACTGGAAATAGGATCTGAAATCTTTACATAATATTTGCAAGTGTAACTAGATAACTAGATTACACCGTGATGGGCTATAATTCTCCTGATAACCATATTAACCGAAACGTTATTTTACCCATTCTATTCAGTTGAAATAATAAAATACAATCCGAAGACCTGTTCGCCGAATATATTAAAGAGAAACCAATTATTATGCGACTTTTAGAACTTTCCCTCTTCAGGCTAGATGAGATCCTGACATTAGGAAACTTTGTAGCGGACGTTAACTGGTTAAACTTCCTCTCACTAGCGTGCACCTCACTGGAGAGCAACCTTACTGACGCTGTTACGCTTCTCTGTAAGATTCTCACCAAGGATGCAGAAGGAGGTGAGATATCTTAATAATATTAATATTATTATTTTATATTATTTTTATACCACCATCTCATATAGTTGACATCTGAGATTGATGGAAGATGCAACTTCTTTTAATTCGAATTCAATGCAGCACTCGCTAATCTCAGAATCTAAATTGACAAAAAGTTGTGTATGTTGTAGACCAGACATAGTGTAGATATAATAGCCTACTGGTCTGTGTATTGCATGATTTGTTATCTAAAGTGCAACATTTCGCCGATAATGAAATAAAACAATTCATCAAATCAGGACCAGCGGGAATAGAGTACGATTTATTCAAAAAGCTGTACACATATCTGGCCGAAGTGGACGGTAACATCACACAAGAGCACATCGAAAGTGTCCTGGCATATCTTGACAACGATGCTGCAAAGAACGCAAATATGATTGGGCCCGCTCATTTCACTCATGCTTTTTGTCCTAAGCTAAGCGGTTGAACAAGTGTTTTCTTGCTCGTGCTTGTTTGCACTGTAGCAACAGTTTGAGATTGTGTTTTCCCGTTTTTGTTCTTGCAGATAAGCTTCTCAAGAGAGCTCATTTAATAATAACTTGCAGCTGTCAATCATGTTCGAGTTAACTTTTCCTTTTTTGGGTAAATTGCTATTAAAACGTATTTATATTAAGGACTGCCATTGTTATGTGACTTCCAATCGAAGAATGTTGTATATATTTTCGAGTGTATAGATATATGTTGTTACACCCAACTATCTTTTGAACAATTCCGAAATGAAGTAATGCGATTTGATTCTACCCCTCTGTGGCTCTAGCAATTGGTATAAAATGGAACGCGCGATTAAACGTTTTTCAGTTATTGTTAGCCGCGCACGTTGCTTAGAAACGAAGCACGTACGCGACGTTAATTTTCTGTAACTGTTATCAATTAAACCTGCTATTATGTTGCTTGAGTATAATAGCAGATAAAGCTAGTTTACAAAATACCGCTTTGGTCGATACGAGGCTGTAGAAACTCTATGCTCACCTAAATTCATACATGTATCACCAAACTGTTACTCTAACGTATGTGTAATGACTTTTGCCTTGTCTACGTAGTACAAGACATGTTAAAGCTTATGAAAAGTTGTCCTACCCATTTACCCATCATCTTAGCTTATCGGGTCAGTGGAGGGGGTGCATGCGAAGCCGCACAAATTTAAGCTGGTCACGTGACTGCGAATATAGATTGTTTAGCCGTCATCAAATTAAATTTTAAGTCGCTCGCCCATATCACATATTTATTTCAACCGTCAGACCAATTATTGCTACTTTCAGAGATCTATTTTTATTTTGGTCAAGTATTTTTCCAATTTCAATACACGTTCAATTGAACAAGCCCGTTCCCTACGAAATACCATCAAACTTCAAAGCAGCTTAATCGATTTCCAAGTATGAAGTAAACTGAAGATACACGATGTCTAGTCTAATGTCTATTGTCTATCCTGTATCCGTCCTACCAAGTAAAGTGGAATGGTACATATTTTAATTAACGACGCGACACAAAATGTAATATGTGGGCAGTCGAGGTCTCAACTCTCAGGCCTAGCCCGGCCGAGTCCGACATTATAGTCCAACATTTTTGCGATACATGATAATTGATAATATGTACAATGTAGTACTCTTTTTGATTAATTAGCGGGCGCCAGTATTGTAAGGTACACACAAGGCCGTATTATAAACTATTATATTAGGATGCAGTGAAAACTGAAACTATCGATTGGACCATGAATTCTATAATGCATGAATGGGGACTTGCCACCCCATCATGACATGGACATGGTTAGAAAACACATTAATTAATCGAACAGTTTTCTTTGACGTTCATATACAATTTAGAGAGCCCATCAAGAGTAAAGAGGTGCTGACACAACACTAAACAGTGGCCAGCTTGTTTGATAAATTTTCAGACTTTTGCCTCTGCCCTCTAATCATGTTTTCTGCTTTTATTATGAAAGTTATATAACCTGGATATGCAATGTCGCACGTGCTTTTATAATTAAAAGCGGGTTAGGTCCGGTCCGGAGATTTCATGTCACCAATTAAATTGGCAATTGCATAAATAATTTGTGGTAAAAGATTAGTCAATTCGGCAACACTTGCATCATTCATCTTTCATGGTAGTCATTTATACAGGACCAGTAGCACACCCAAAAAGGTGCACGTCCCCAGTCCCGAAATCCGTAATTTGTAATTATTGCCCAATTAGCTCACATGATCACGTGATGCTGATTCAGGCGGTTTAGAAAAATACATGATCCATTTCAATTCAACGTGCTAATACGTGCGCGCGAAAATAAGGGTACTTGTTTTTATCAATCAAACGTTCGGAGTCGCGCGTTCCATGCAGTCAGCGCTGCTCTCAATAGCCATAAATTCATTCGCTATGCAGCCCGGAGAAGCTGCCTGTAGTCGAATTACCGAGGTTATTTGTGTCGAATGCAAACGGTAAAATTCAATAAAATTGAGCTTAAGCCTTTTGTTGTATCGATGTACACAGGAAAACTACACATTTTACAAAAATTAAGCTCAATTTACAAAATCTGTATCTCATAATTATAATATTGCTCTTTTATGTACGCATTTTTGAGAAATTAGAATAAAAATAAGTTGAGTTAATTCATACCCCAGTTGTTCAAGTAAGAGTTAATACTTAATTTCCGAATATTTACAATCTTTATAGAGCGTAGAACGCATTGGTATGCAACATTGCTACACGGTACAATAAATCATAAACTCACAAATTCCACCTTACATACAATGTTCGTACATCACTTCCAAAAATCATTTAAACTAACAAAAAAAAGTTTTCCAATCCAGGACTACAAACTACGCTAAAGAGAATATATTGTCACGCGGATACATGCAAAACCCAATATTCTCAAAACTTCCGCCTTTAACTTACGTAAAACTGTTCTAGATTAAAAGACATAATTGCTAAACCTTGAATCCTATTTTAATTATTGTACAATCCATTAATTAGTACTGAACTAGGGGTTAAAACGTCTTAAAATTAAAAGATCAAACATAAGTGAAGTTAAAAACTGAATGAGTCGAATAGGTGCTTTAACGATTTTTCGTTGAGTATCCAATCTACTACAATACCAGAAAAAATAAAGTTCAATTTTCACGGAATTACAAGCAATAATGATAAATAATGTTCAATGAGTGTGTTCATTTCTCAAACAACAGAGCTACATCTCGCACAATGTATGGCTACACATTACGTTATATTGATTGTCTTCAGTGTTAAATTAACAGCCACTCTGACGCCACTCTGACGTCAATAACTACTCTTCCACTTGGCTTTTAATGTGCAGTAACGAATCTCTCTCGTATTATACACAGGTGTGGGAATTCCTTAGATGGGGCCGAACAATGTTGCTGCTTCTTCAGCGCATTCCATCGTTAAACTATCCCAAAAATGTTTAAAATTTACAATTTCACATTATATAATATCGTCTAAACGCTATAATTTCCTATGAGGCAGTCTCGGTGGCATTCGTGATTTCCCGGTTATCTGCCTTCTTCTCCTTCTTTGGTTTCTTCATGCTGCCTTTCTTGTCTTTTTTCATCGTCTGCTTCTTGCTCTTGGCGGTCATGTTAGCGCTATCGAGAAGCTTGCGTCGCATATCAGAGGGGAATTTGTCGTAACAATGCCGACAGTACGGCTTCATATCCATCTCTATGACCTTTGACCTGTGGAGGAGAGAAAACATGTTATTTGACATTTCGGAATATTATGCGAAAATTATATGTGATGTAGGATATTATGCAATGTCCACATAAGTACATAAAGAATTGAGTGTAATGATGTTGATTCGTCCAAGTGGATTTTAAATTCAAATGTATTATTATTATTATTGTTCAGTAAACAGATGAAAAATGATGAAAATTGTTTGAATTCTTTTAAAAATCCACTCACTTCTTTTCCTCGAGAAGAGTATCGCATCCGGTACAGAAGAAATGGTTCTCGCAGTAGTTTTTGTTCAGCACCTTGATAACTGAAAATACCCGGTATATTAGCTTATTAGATAATCTGATGAGTTTTTATCACGGAGAATTTAAATACAAATGCATGATATTATGGTTCACTTATAATGCGGAGTAAGTATTTGGCGTGCACATTTGGCATTATGATAGAGGACACAACTTGCAATATCAGTATTCAAGTTATTTTGACAATGGGTTCGACTATTCTTAGAAAAAGAAATTATACGCTACATTTCGATCACTTATCAATTATCATAGCTTAATATCATTACTGACTTTATATCAAGATTTATGTTTTGATCAATAAAGGAGTGGTTTGTATTCTACACAATCGCCTAATGAAACGTCTGTGTGTCCGACCAAAATAACATAACTGACTTCCTACCGCTGTTTTATTAAGACACATCAAACATCCCCAGGTTAAAGAATTACAGCAATTGTGGTGGAGACTGCCCGTGTTAATTAGATTACAATGTTTCGACCACAACCGGTAACCCACTTACCACCAGTTCTAAATGTTACGAAAACTTATGAAAAATAACCTGGCATGCGTTAAAAATATTAGTGGTACACGGAAAATTTTAGCTACTGCTAAAAAACCCCAGAAATAGCTTCCAACTATGTACCGATAAAATAAATGGAAAATTCCGTTCTGTCAAAACAATCTATAATAAGCATATTGTCTAATTAGTAATTACGTAATTGTCTAATTACCTTGCATACTGGAACGGTTGTCACAGTAGAAGCACCTTACTCCGAACATCTTCATGTAATGGTACTGACAGTAGGGTTTACCCTCGTTCAACATGAACTTGTCCCCAGATAAGGGTCGCTCGCACTGGTAACACAGGAAGTGCTGTGGAGGAATGAGTTAGGGGGAGAAGGAGATTGGTTAAAATAGGTGGAAGAGCTGAAAACCAGAGGTTTTCAGCTCTTGTCATGGTTGTCATGGTCCTTTTCGTCATGGCGAAAACTCGAAACTTTTTGAATAAATGGCAAAAACACCCCAAACGTTCTCATCAACTTGTGATTAAACCAACAATGTCTCACCTCAGGGCACCAAGCCTTGCTGGCTGCCTTGATGGCACGTCCATCTATAGCCTTCTTACACGCAGCACACACATCCTGTATAACCGTGTCGAAACACAGCTGGCAGTAGAACTGGTTGTCTTTCTCTTTGTACTTGTTATCCAGTGGTTTACTGAGGGGGGTTGTCATGGTTACTAGGGGTCGTTGTCATGGTAACGGGTGCAAATGTAATCTATGATGAGTAGGAATTCGCATATTATATGTTGTAAAGTATAGGATTAGGAACATGACAGAAATTACAATATTTCCGCCTGGAATTCGAAGAGACAAATCCGGAATAGAACTTACTAGCAATTCTGGCATGAGAAATGATAAGGATGATAAGATTCCTTGAGGTACCACAAGACGAACTCTTCTATCGGCGTGAAACACTTGTTACAGATATACTTCTTCTTCTTCTTCAGCAGATCGTGACAGTCAATACAGATCGGTCTGTAATAATAAAATTTAATATCATTTATTTAACGAGATAAAATACTTATTCAATAAGTTACTTACTGCCATAATAATAAATGATATCTATAACTTTGTTTCCCTGATCTTAACGGCCGAGGCCATTATGATAATTGTACACGTTAGTTTTACCTGTCACACAGCTGGACTATGTGTTAATTTGGTACTTTTAATAATTGTGATATCATATCAGAACGGGCGGTTACAAGTGTGGGAAATGTGTTAAAAACACACGTCTCGGCAGATTGCTGTAACTCTTGTTGTAGATATACAGCGAGTTTTAAAAGTTCCCAAACTTATGAGAGAGCTTGACGGACATGTTTAAACGTGTCATTAAATTTGAAATCTAGCGGATGGTAAAATAGACGAGAAGCTCTACTACATTACATACGATTTGAATCGTAAGAGTCTAAATACCGAGCTGGTCCGCCCAAATAGTCATTTAAAATTGGAATCCTCATAATTGTGATTTTCTATTTTTTGAATTTATTTTTAATCCTGTGTGCCAGGGACATGAAAGAATTTAACCTTACAAAATTGACCTGTCAACGGTTCGAAAATATCCTAAAATAAAACAGTTGCAGAAGATGAGCATGCCCGAAATAAAAGATTCTTGTAGTAGGAATTTGTTTAGATTCCAATGATGGTAACTTTTCTAAGATAGTTCTTAAGAACTAACTTACAATTTAAATCTAAGAACATTTAAATCTAAGTAATCGGCAATTTTAACATTTAAACATCTTAAGTAGAAATGAGAGGGATATAAAGGGCACGTACCTGCCATTATGTTTAAAGAAACCGTTTTCACAGAGCTCCGCACCACACATGTAACACCCGAAACACTCCGGATGCCACTTCACATCCAGAGCTTCTATTACACGTCCTATTACCCAGCCACCTGGTGAAGAGTGTTTATTTAATAACTCAGTCAAATATAACAATTATAATTAGTACATGCTGCTTGGACTGCAGAAACCAACACATAGTCATAAAATTAGTTACGGAAGTTTGGTTGGAATTGATTCTAGAGTTCTAGTATAGATGTCCAGATTGCTTTAGGGTAAGAGTCATATAATATTTTAATTCATGTGTAAGATAATACCTTGTAATTAACATGTGTAAGATTTTCAGAGCACAACACAAATATTTTAAAACCTTGCAGCCTGCACTTAATCTTGTAGAAAATGTAACCGGAATGTTCTAGAAATTATCGCTGGAGAGATAATTCCACCTATTATATATTCTGTGACGCACGTGCATTTTCATCCAATTATCATGACTTGGAATGAATTGCGTTGAAACATTGCATTAACTCATTAAGTATAATGCGTATTTAATAGACTTGGAGCACGATTTACTAACTACATACCTCGTTTAACAGATTATATTTGAGTACAAAAGTATTTACCACCTACAATCTACATACCGCTAGGCTCTAAAAAGCACATTTTTTATAACCTGCATACCGCTTCAGTACATTACTACTGTTACTCTCAAAATCCGCTCACCATAAATTATGCAAACGCCTTAAATTTCAACTATGAAACCTTAACGGGAACAGCAGTAGAACTTAGAAGCCGCAACTATATTCAAAAAAGCAACTTAAACAGCATTGTAACTAAATCACAATTATTATATTTCTAACTAAACAAACTAAAGCACTAAAGTAACTAAAGCACCAAGATGTGAACGTACCACAAGTGAAGCACATGGGAGCGAAGTTGACAGTGTAACAGTTGTGACAGTAGGGTCTGTCCTCGTGCTCGTAGAACACGCTTTCCTGGGACGGGTCGTTGGGGTCCTTGAACGGTTGGAAACACTGCACGCACCTGTAAAAATATATTATTAGGGATTTAAATAGGGATATAATTATCAATTAGGGATGTAATTGTGAATACTAGTAGGGATATTATAATGTTCAGATCTTACAATACATCGTTATCTGATGTGTATGAAGTATGAACTGATGCAATGAGTGTCATGATTGGAGTGCGCATCTTTGAGTTACAGTCAAGTCAGTCAATGCATTGTGGTATTGATACGAAATTCCGTCATCAGGTGATCCGTATATTAAAATTGATATGTTAATCAATGAATTGAGTTTAAATATTTGGAATGTCGAGTATAAATATTTTGATCGAATTAAGCGTATTATTTATACTAAGAATAGAGTTGCCCAACACTTACAAAAAGCAGGCGGAATGCCAGAACAGACCACCGCTGCACACAATAAAAGCACTCTTCTTAAACCCCTCCCTACAAACATAACAAGCCTTCTCCAGCTGGAATATCCTCTTATCACCAGGCTGGGAGACCCACACTTCGTTCTGGAGATCCACATCGTATATGAACATGGCTGGGATGTCCATCTGCGCCACCTCCATAGCATCCTTGATCTCTGACATGACTTTGGCGTGCTGCTTGTGGATGTAACGGGGAGTCTGGATGTCTTTGGTTGTGTCCTCGTTGTACTCTATCTCTGGAGGAGGTGTTGGGGGTTGGGGAGGTTCTGGTGTTGGTGCTAGTGTTGGTGCCTTCGCTGATGGTTTGATGGAGACTCGCCGTTTGAAATCATCAAATAAGGACGATTTTCTCTTCATGGAAGTTGCTTTTTTGTTTTCAATCTTTCGAAGTTCAGATAGTTGTGGTACTTCGTCTAGGATATCACCAGCGGAGTTAGATCTGAAGAGTTTCTTTGTCTTGCCTTTCTTCTTCCTCTTCAGCTCAGGACTGTACTGAGTTTCAGTGTTCTTGTATCGAGGCACCTCCACATTCATAGAATTATTTCGATCCAAGTCGAGTTCCAAATTAATGGAAGATTTACGGGCAGGATCAAGTGGATCCTGATTAGCATTGTTGGGGACCGGGGTTGTTTCTCTGGAGGTGTACTCAGAAGTTCTTCTAGGAAGGATCGGGCTATCAAAAGCAGATACACGTCTTGTTCTATCTGAAAACGGACTAGACGGCCCTGTACCACTATCAGTCTTCTCGATCAGCTTCTCTTGTATCCTATTAGCTATCCCATCACACAAATCATCCAGATCCTCGAAGAGATCAGAGAGAGTGGACTGGGCTGAGACCCTGTTCTTCACATTAGTCCGGATCACCTCCTGGAGATGCTTGTTTCGCACTTTCTTGCTCAGCTGCACCGTGGCCTGTGTAGGACTGATCCTCTCAATGTCCAGAGCGTGCTTGTCAAAGTAGTCCACCTCTTCTGGGACCAGCTCGCTGTAGTCACTCTGGTAGGAATCACTGTGGTTATATATCTGGCCTGGTTGAGAAGAGGTAGTTGAAGCCAGGGAACTTCGAGACGATCTATTATGTTGTGGCGTGTTTTGAATAGCTGGCAGGGAACTTCGAGACGACCTGCTATGTTGCGGCGTATTTTGAATACATGGCAGGGAACTACGATATCCTCTGCTATGTGGCGTGTTTTGAGACGCACAAGTGCTTTGGGATGCACAAGTGCTTTGAGATGTGCAGGTGCTTGTGGAAGTTAAGCTGCTCTGAGAGGAGAAGTGCGCTTTCTGGTTCTCCAGGACGTGCTCAAGTGGGTCAGGTCGCGTAAGGTGAGAAAACCTACCAAGATCAATCAGATCGATTATGTTTTGGTCCAGCACTAAATCGCTTGTGTCAATTGGCGGCTGAAACTGAATCTGGCTGATAGGCGTCCTATCCATACTGACTTTATTCTGACTAGTTCGCTCTAGGCTATTCCAATCCGAGAAACCAGAATCTTTGCTGTACCGGTTGCGATTCTCCTCGATAAGGGCCTTCTTACGGCGAATAGTGCCAGTAGCATGGTGAAGCTGCAATACGTCGTGGAAGAAATTATCAGGAGTCTGGCAGTTCTGGTCCACTGAGCATTTCCGGGTATCGAAAGCGAACCTCACATCAGCTCGCTGTTTGGCCTTTTCCCTCTCGAGGTAGCGGAGCGTATCCTCGTAGTTTCCTCGCACTACAAACTTAAAACAGTTGCCTTCACCAGCGTGTTCAGCCACAGGTTCAGCCATCTACAAACACAAATGTTTATAATCAGTGATGTAAAGTTATAAAGGAATATGTTATTGAAATGTAACAACGTAGAGTATCGAAATAAGTAATGGTTATTATTATTATCAGGTCTACGATTTTTAGATTATATTTTAAATAACGACTTCGTATAACAACTTCAAATTACAACTTCATGCCACAAACCTATATCACAACATCAGGAGCTAAATTACATTTCATGTACGACTTCCAGTGATAGCCAAGGGTGCACCATGGCATTGAAACAATTACTGGTGATATGAACTCTGAAGACCTACTGACTGGCAAAATAACAAAGTAAATGGAATCGCGTGTACAGAACCGAGGATGAAGCTGAGTTTTAAACCTTAAACAAAGCCTCTAAATCAAGTTAAAAGCAATTTTAACTTTTAACACGTCCTGTTCAGTGTTCATCATCTACAACAAACAATAACTGCGCGAGTGGAGAAGCCCATTAAGTTACTCAGCAATACAACAGAAATCAGTTTATATAACGATTCGATTGGCTCGATAATGTATCTAGCAACATTGACTTGCTAGTTGGTCTAATAAAGGGTGATCAATGTTGAAAATTAGTAAGACCTAAAATATAGAATTAGAAGCTGAATCTGAACAACAAATAAGCCTAAAAATAAAACTAAAGCTGCTCACGATCATATTTATACAAACTGCGACCTCTAAAGCGTATTGCCTGCTAAGATAATGATTGCCACCACAAAACATAATACCCTTTATCACGACACAAAGCTGTAAAGATAACAACATGGACTCCACATACGGTGGAGTAACGGTGGAGTTTACTGACAGGCAGTGATAACAAAAGTAGTGATAACAACGTGGAGGACAATAGGTGGGGTAAAGGTGGGGTAAAGGTGGAGTAGAGCAAACTGACTGATAACAATTTGCAGGACACAAACTGGAGTAAAGCTTGCTAACTGATAACAAAGTGTACGACAAAAGAGTGCGACAAAACAGCACAGAGCATTGATCTGTGAACGTATGTGATGTACAGGAAGGAATATACTAGTGCTGGAATGTTGCTGGATCTAACACCACTAGGAGTGGCTTGATGACTGACCTACGGCTTCTCATTTCCTGATATGATACAGGTTTCCTCTCTTCCTCCACTAAAATTGTACTCTAAAGTTTCGTGCCATGGACCCTGATTTAAAGCTATTATGTCTGAAATGTTTCATGACGTAGAGCACAAAATTGAGTAAAGCTGATGAAATGATGAACTCCAAATGTGTTGTCAAAATGTGCAGCGCCTCCAGAGCTTTGAGGGCTCAAGATAACCGATATGCAAGACAGCATGTCATTAACCCTATTGACACTTGCTGATAAGGAGATTCCAGGGCGATCAACAATATAGGTGACACAAGATAAAGGGAATTATAAGGACTCTGGAAGCATTTGTAAAGTCCTATCAAAATATATATACACCGCTATATATTGCACCCAAATAGATATTACCCCGGGTGACCCAAATAGATCTGTACCATAAACACTGTTATAGTACCTCATGATATGGTTCCAAAGAAGGGTAGGGCAGTAGGGAGCCTTACAATATGATGAAGATAGCAGTAATTATGGCATATGTCGGCCGTCGGGATATGTGGTACATATTAGGTCGGCATATTCACATTTCACATATTGCTTAATCACTGAGTTAGGGGTTTCTGTCGGTACATTTGTAAGGGATGAGCAAGGCACGGCAATATGCTATACGCTTCCTGTTACGACCCAGTCGCTTCAAAATATATAGGCTGGCCGGCTGGGCAAATGTTGACGCCTAAAATATTCTCCTAGCCAAAAAGAGACGCCAAAAATACTGAGCAGGCCAAAAAATAACGCCTAAATTATTGAGCTTAAATTAGTGATCTCTCTACAAATGCGCGATCACTTTATATCTAAGAAAACCAACAAAAGAAAACAACATCCCAGTAAAATTCACTCTTATTACTTATACGAGAACAATCGTACTACCGAATAAGAGTACAGTTCTGACGAAAGCAGCAGGGAGTTGGCTAGGTTACGTCTCTAAGACAAAAAGTATTAGTGTAGGCTTTTTCTAATTAGACTATTTCGCAAGACTACGGAGTACGGACGTGTCAAAAGATGAGTTGCAGATGAGAACAAAAGAGAAGGAAAGAGCGATCAGCCTAACATTGATCAACATCAAACCAGGGCGTTGCATTGTCATTGATTGTTACTAATACTATACTAATGCTTCAGTATACTAGTGAAAAGGGGACAATGGTCGCATTAATGGACATAACATTCGATCGTATTGCTTGAGTGTTACAGCAAGCAATACGGTTTAACGGTTGATGCCGAGTGCCGACCATATTATGATTTGTGCTTTCAACGTGACCACAATTTGAAGAATGCAGCTGAATGAGATTTCGATATTGCCTATATAATAGCAATGTCTTCCTATATATAGGAAGACATTGCTATTATTATAAATTGCTATTATTATATATAAATGCAGCTAGTTCAAACTGCTTTTCCCCCCTAAAAATGAGAAAACCAAACCATCACGGTATCTCAGGATCTGAACGATGTATGTATCTACTGTAGTAGATGTAGTAAATGTATGTATCTACTATCTACTGAAGCTGATACAAGAAGGCTGTCCAGATAGCTATACAATTAAAATGGGAGAAATTTGGCGTATAACTGATTACAAACTCAGTGAAGCAAATGGACTACAATTCAACAAGTTTAATCAAGTACTGCAATTATAATCAGTTTAATTTTAAACAAATGTGCTGCTCAGCATACTAATCATTGGCTGCATAATGCAATTATACATAATATGCGGTTAATCACCGCTCATGAAATGTTATCTATTTTCTCAGCAGATTACTTATCAACCTTTGATTATACTATGCTATTTGAAGCGATTACTAATTGAGATTAAGATTTTAAATGCTGTTTATCGAGATCCTCCCTGGCAAGGAACCATCAGAGCCACAGAGCTTTAAGTTGTTTTAAAATCATACCTCAAGCTTTCCAGGTTTTAAATTCGTGAACTTGCCCGACGTTAAAACAGAAGTTGTACGTTTAAACAATATATACTACATGGATACTGGATGCCCATTGCCCACTGTCCATTCGTCCTGACCTCAAACAAAGATACATCAAACAACAAGTCCACGTGTGGCAACTGAATTCTAAATACAGGGGACTAGGGTAATAACTGAGTTGGTGCTGACTGGTACCGACTAGTAACCGAGGAAACTAGTGTTCATTTTGGACGGAAAAGTCATTCGAGAGAGATGAGCTGATTTACTTGTAATTTAAACTGTTCAACATCAGTTAGCGCTTGTGACAGTTCAGGTGGGGCAGAAGGTGCTATTTATAGAATACAGAACTTGAACAGGAAGCTTGACTGATTGCTTAGGTGCCAATTTCCATAACTTTACAACTTTCAATATCTATCATGTGCATGGACTGTTCACGTTAGTTATAATATTGGCGGTTGTTTCTTGGCGCCAATATAAGTTTCACTGACCAAATTGCAAAACAATATCGACACAATATATAATATCGCATTATGAATATTAGACCGAAATAAGACTCCGAAACGAATGCTTGTTTTAAATCAGGATATAACCGTTTACCATATAGTTTCATAAACGTAACTTCAGAATAAATAGTGAAGAACGCGTTTTGTCTCAGTTCCTCACTAGGCTAAATCACGCACTTTCCGATCTAGACTCTAGATTCTAGAGGTAGTGGATTCGAATCTTAGTTTTGCCCTATTACATAGACCGTCCTTGACGTCCAAGGATTCCTTGGGTTTATACACTTACAGAAGCCAAAAGGGAAACCGTTATAATATAAGGTTTTAAATGTGTAGCTTCGCTTCTTGTTAATGGCTGGCCAAAAATGAACTAAATGGTGTTTGCTAGCCAAAGTTAAATAGTTAAATAAGTATCTAGATAAAAACACGTGGGATCAGGATTTTCTCACTTGTTACATGCACCGTTCTCAGAAGATGAAGCACCAGATTAGCACTTTAACATAGCTCTGTATTAGTATTACTAATATATTATACAATACATTAGTAATTTACTAATACAGGGCTAATAAGTATATAATATTATATACTAATTTAGTATTGCTGAAACACTATGTAGATACAGTATATCAGTTCAACGCAGTTCACCGCCTGTTTTCTCCACTCACAAGTAAAGATTCAGACAAAGAGAAAAGAATCAATCACAACTCAAAGAGCTCAGCGGTGAAAACCATCAAAAAGACCTTATCAAAGAAGGATCTCACAGTGTGGCAACATAGACACCACATTCCACAGTAACCACAAACATAAACTCCACCTTTTGAACTAACCGAACTTATAAAGACGCATAATCCACGCATAACGACGCTTAATACACCACGAGGCGATTAAACCATAAAACTGGGAGGATACCAGATAATATCAAATTCCTGGGAAAATATTCCGGGACTCACAACACATCCTAGTAGTAAGTAGACTTTCGGACAGTCTCAGCCAGCTCGGGCAGTCGCTCAGCCAGCTCTGGCAGTCTTAGTCAGTGCACCTCAGACTAGTTGTTGACCATGTACCACATACCCCCCTCTCACAATGAAGCCTCTCCCGATCATCTCTTGAACTCCTTCAAGACCTGAAGTGTTGGGAACCTGGTCCGGAACCAGTGTGCGGTGAGCACCTCCTCCGCAAGAAGTCCTGAAGTGGAGGGAAACTCTTCCTCCACAAGTGTGGAAGAGCACCGGAGCTTGGTGTGATGCAGGTCCCGACACGTCGTCAGCATGAGGGTGGTATCTCACAGTAATGTGCTCATATCTTCTTGTGCGAGAGACTGTGGTCACGTGATCTACCAGCTTGTGTGTGGTGGTTCAGAGAACGTACTGGTTATGTGATGTGTTCTAATGTTAGATTGTAGTGCTCATGTCGTGTCTGAAGGGTTAGGACCCGCCGTCTCTCGGCTTTACTCTTA